TATAGATATATATTTTTTTTAAGTGGAAGAAGAATGAGTCATAATGGTTGGTGGGGGTGGGGGGCGCGGGGAGACAGACAAAAAAACAGCAATTAAATTTGTTCTGGAAGAGGAGAGGGAATGGAAAAAGTACAAGGAAATAAATAAGTACAGATTGTATAATAGAACCTTAAAGTGGTGGAAAATCATTCAGGGATTTAAGAAAAAGGTCTATTAATAGCTGAAATGGTAGATGATGAAGAAAGCTTTTAGAAGTAACATTTAAGAATTACTATAGAATTGAAGCATAATTGTAAAGAGATATTTTCTGTTTTCTTTTTAGCTACTTATGTTTATTTTTTAAAGGAAATATATATGTAATAGAATTGCATTTTTATTATTAATTTAAAACTTTCAATAATCTTTTTCACTATTTTATCTTCTTTTTAATTGGAGTTTTCATTTTGATTCTTGCTTTGGTTATAATCTACTCTTTCTTCCCTTACCTTAATCCTTTTTAAGTGATTATTATTATCCTTTCCTAGTTGCATTTTACTTTCAAATTATAACTTTCTAAATAGCCTTCAATCTGTAGGTCATCTGAAAATCTAGGTTTAAAAAATATACACTAAGTAAAACACAATATACTCAAGAGAATTAATAATATATAAATAAAACTATTAATTCTGACATGATGACCCTTAAAAGTCAAAAGCAGCAGTTCTACATTGTAATTTTACTTTCCAAACATATGTATTGGCATGGAATTACAAAGTCATTAAACTTTTCTCAGAAATGTATACACAAATTTTAAAAAGTTTAAAAACACAACATTAAGTTAAGCCGTATCAGTACAATAGTAAAATAATCAAGTGAGAAGTGGGGGGAAATTCGGCAAAATGTGCTAATCGTCAAACATGTCTAAGTTAATAAGTCTGTAGAAACCAAACTTTCCTTAAAAGTCACCCTATTTAGTTGATATGAGGATACACTGTCTGGTCAAAAGTAAAATTACAGGGCCTTACAAATGTACCTCTCTGCCATAGGATGTTGATAGTGGAGGAGGACATATATGGGGGGGAGGGGGACGTGGCAGGAGTCACAGGGTACATGGATGTTGCACTTGCCATTCAATTTTGCTGTGAACCTAAAACTGCTCTAAAAAATAAAGTCTATTATTATTATTATATAAATAAAGGGCCAAGCAAATAAAACTGATCAAAATATAATCCTAGAAATTTGGATTATTTTTCAATAGTAATAAGAATATAAATTCTGAAATGTGTGGAAATGTTAAAACTATTAATTTTTTACCTTCCAAAAGAATACTTTCCATTAAAACATAAGCTTTGGATAATTCTTAACTTAAAGAAAAGAATGGCAGATCTGCAATACATTCTAGAAGAGCTCAGAAAAAAAAAATTTTAATGTAAGAAATTAAAACTGTTCCAAATTAACTTTAAAATCACTAAAATATCAGTTAGCATTTGCTGTAAAGATAGTTTTTTTCTGTTACAATAAGAGAAAAGAATATATGTGATTAATTGTTCTAATTTAATGCATTTGTTTGCATATATAATTTTTGGTGACCCAGATATGCAAACATACTAATATATGACTTAATTATCTATATTCTTTAATAACAAGAGATGGAAAGAAAATAAGCAAACAAAAAAAGAAATTCTGCTTGGCTGCTTCCATAGGAGAACCTCATTTACTCCTCTCCCTCTTCTCCCCAGATAGACTGGAAAAAGGAGAAAAAATGTCCATCAATGGATGGATGAAGAAAATGTGCTATGTATACAACAAAATATTATCCAACCATAAAAAAGAAGGAAATTTTGTCATTTGCAACAATGTGGATGGATCTTGAGGGCATTATGCTAAGTAAAACAAACCAGAGTAAGACAAACACCATATGACCTCATTTGTATGTGGAACACAAACAAACACACCAAACTCATAGATACAGAGAACAGATTGATAGTTGCCAGAGGCAGAGGTCAGGGGTGGGGTGGGGTGGGCAAAATGGGTGAAAACAGTCACCAGGTATAAACCTCCAGTTATAAAATAAGTAAGTCCTGGGGATGTAAGGTATAGCATGGTGACTATAGTTAATAATACTGTATCATATATTTGAAAGTTGCTAGATCTTAAAAGTTCTTATCACAAGAAAAAAAATGTGTAATTATGTGTAGCAACGGATAGTAACTAGACTTGGTAGAGTCTAGAGTGGTGGTCATCTTGCAATATACACATATATTAAATCATTATGTTGTACACCAGAAATTAACATAGTATTACTAGTCAATTATATCTCAATTTTTGAAAAAGACATATATATAAGAAAACAGAAAAGAAAAAGGGAAGAGACCCACGGAAAGAAAAAAGGGCCAACTGCTTTCTTCTTTCCTGGCACTAACAATAACAAAGAAAGAGACAAGGAAAAAAAAAAAGAAATATGCCTTAAGTTCATGTGTCTTGTCCCTTCTCTATCCCCAGCCTTCATCATCACTGTTTTAGAGTTGCATATTCCATGTTCCTACTGTGTGATACAGTTTGGGGTCTGATATGAAATCCCTCCTCCTGCGAGGGTTGGTGTGGTAAGAGAGTGGTAAGGATACAGGTGGAACAGGAAACAGTTTCATAAAATAAAGAAGCTCTAAATGTGCTCTCACAGAGTCATAAACTAAACCTACATCCTATAGCACTATGCTTCAGAAACATTATGGGATGAAAGCCTTTTGTGGTTCACCCTGAAATCTACAAACCCTTTAACATTGTTTCCGCAAAAATTAATGTAAAAGTAAATTTTGTTAAAATTTATATAATTAATATATAAAAAAATCCATTTATAACTTAAGAATTGCCTATATATTTAACAACCAAAGCACAGTTACCTATCTTCCCCACAAGAAGCCAGTGGGCTAGAAAGCCCAGAACAATAAGGTGTTCAAGTAGGAATCAGGATCACAAAGATGGAAAACAGTAGTTTTTAATTCAATAGGATGGGATTAACAATGAAAAACAGCGCTCTGGAAAGGGAAGCCAAGACTACCCTTAAAAGGGAGAATGCAACCTACCTGTAGAGATAAATAAGTATCTTAAAGTAGGAGTATTTTAGTCACTGGAAAAAGAGAATTCACAACTACAGAAGAGTGGTAAACAAGATAAGCCATATTCTATAATGTCTCCGTGAACCTGACTTGCTTTTTTAATAGTTCATTCTCTTCTAAATCCTCATCTGTGATGTTTTTGTCAACATAAGTGGGAGTTATCCAAGTGTTAGAGTTTTGAGGGTTGAATGAGCATAAGGGGTAGCTGATAAAAGAGATTATTTTAACATGGCTATCGCATTAAGACACAGGACCAACTCCTCAAACAGTAGCCAAATGGAATCTGGAAGATAGTAAGAATCAAATAGATACAGCATATTCAGGTAGTCTTCTCTCTCATTTTGGTAATTTATTCCTATAAAATATTTCTAGAAAATTGCTTTTATTTTACTGCAGGGTACACATCTTGTTCTGTTAAATGCATGCATGGAAATATACACATACCTCTTTCTCACACACACATGCATAGATGCAATTGAACTTCAATATTTCATATTTTTAATGGCAGAACTTATATACTATTTTCTAATTCCCCAGTCACTTAACGAGCAAGAAGGGAATGTGGAAAAAGAATTAAAACTCATTCTTTGCATTTCCTATAGTAGTTTGGGAGCGATTATGGCCACAGTGACCCACATGATCTGGTTCGTTGCCTGTAAGCCTATTTTCACCTATTAATGCCAAAACAGAAATCTGAAGTCTAGGGTGCCATCATACTAATTAAACAACTTTTTACCTGTAATCTAGTCCCATTCAGTAGCATAATTTTCACTGAAGAAACTGAAGTATGTTTAGACTCTGTATGTTTAAATTGTAACAAAATTTGCCTTGTTAATGGCAAACATTATCACCTCTTTTATGCCTTTCTAAAGAAATTTCAACAACTGTCACAATACTTTAAAAAAATGAAAATGATCATTGGGTAAGCTGGAATTTTCCATCACCATTCCCTTTTGACATATTATCTCCTAGATTTCCTAAGTAGGAACAATGTTCTTATTACGAACTTTCTATTTCACCATGAATAATATTCTTCTCACTTTTGCATTTCTCTGCAGAGACCATAAAAACAACTGGAACCAAATATAGGAGCTACCATCTTCATCACAGTTTACAGGAAAAAGAAAACAGTAATATATATGTTTGCTTGGGGCACAGAAGTGGCTTTTTGCTTCTGGTCCTATAATTACCTTCTGAGAGAGGTGATAGTAATCTTACACTGATTCTTGCCACTACAGTAACTTGAAGGTAGGAGGGGAGTTACCAAAAGAATAAGAAATTAAATTAAAAATAATAGATCTTGAGAAAAGGGAGAGAAGCGAGAAAGCATTAAGAAGGCCACGGTAAATAAAATAAACTTCTAGTAGAATTTTTAAGTAGTAAAATGAAGAAATCAAGGAGAAATATTAAAACAAAAAATCTTGTAAGAAAATTAACTTCCAGTAAATAGAAATGCCCAGAGTTGTATCAATAAAATGGCATTCTTTGCCAGGAAGTACAAAAGAAAATGTCAAAGTCCCTATTACTTGTTCTGTTTCAATACGCAAGTTTACTTGCCAAAGAGTTGAGAAATAAGAAACATTTAGGAATATTTGCCAATAGTTTTGAACAGAAACCCATGTGTGAATAATTTTAACATGCATTTTCCTACTCTCCTCCTCTATTGAAATAAATTTAAAAACAAATACAATGTTTAAATAAATTTTCATTCATATATGTAACATAAGGAGCTATATTCCCTACTGCTTATCACTTGTGGATAATGATTTAGGAGTTGATCTAACAGCTTTCATCCATGCCACTATGATATTATTTACTAAAGTTAGAAGTTATAGCCCTATAAATACAGACAAAAATGTGATAGAATCAACAATCCTCTAATTTGAAGACTTTTTTATTTCTTACCATGTCTTTTCCACCTATGACCTCTTATTGACATGCTGGTTACTGCATTTCTTGATATTCTAGAGGAAGTTGGTGTGATTTCAACTTGAATACACCTTGTACCCTCCTTACTAGACTTCATGGCACCATGAGGCAATGAAGCCTTTATGGCATTAGCAACCTAAGGAAAAAATACAGTTTCAGATTGGTATTAACAGACGTATTATACCCTTACATCAAATAAAATGCCAAATTTTAACAGGTTTTATAAAATCATACTTTCTCCAATGTATTTCCTAAAGTGATATGTAAGTCTTCTAGGATAAGGAGTAAGAGCTCAGAAGGAAACTATCGTTTTTTTGTTTTTTAATGTTTATTTATTTTTGAAAGAGAAAGAGACAGAGTGCAAGCAAGGGAGGAACAGAGAGAGAGGAAGACACAGAATCCGAAGCAGGCTCCAGGCTCTTAGCTATGAGCACAGAGCCCAACGCAGGGCTCAAACCCACAAACCGTGAGATCATGACCTGAGTCGAAGTCGGATGCTTAACTGACTGAGCCACCCAGGCACCCTGGAAACTGTGGTTAAAAATAATATGTAAGTGATGAAATTTAAAATTCCAAAATATTGAAATTATATCTCTAAATGCTTAATGCTAATTCATAAGTGCAGCTCTAGCATGTTAAGGAGAACATTCTTGTAAGTTTAAAAGACTATTAAATATCTCAGAAGTTAGCTTAATGAAATTCTCAAATTCCATTATATACACCTTTTCAAGCATAAAATTTGTCTAGTATAACAGCATGAATCACTGAGTTTAATGGCATTAATGCACTATGAATGGCTACTTCTCAATTTATAGTTCTAAAATGAGAAATCTTAAATTACAAAATTTACATAAACAAGTGAGGCACCTACCAACAATGGCTCTGGATATAATTCTAGCTGAGCTCTGTATATAATATCATCCAATGCTTTTTGAGCTAGATCCCATTCTCCATTATAACTATAAAATTAAATGAAGAAAGTATTAATTATTTTTAATTGATTCTGTATATTTGAACAAAATACAATGAGAAAATGTTTGCTGAGTAAAATAATAGATCACATTAGCACACTGCTTAGCATGCCACCCTCCTTGAAAACTTATTTTTATATCTCTGAATTCCTTTCAATTTTATCCGAAAATGCTATTAATAGCAAAGAATATTTTATAGATCTACATTTCTTCTCTAAAGAACATGTCTATTTATAGCCAGATATCAAAAAAAAAAAAAAAAAAAAAAAAAAAAAAAAAAAAAAAAGAGGCAATCTCAAAGCATTTTACACTTTCAAAACAAGTCGGAGCATAATAAATTATATATCATAGAATAATGTTCAGAACACTTTATGGTCAAATTACTCTGTAACTCCCAAAGATTTTAGTGAGAATCTACAACTACTGTGGCTTGCAGTATCTTAAGTAATTACTTCTTTGCATTTTGACAGTCATTTAGAACTGTATATGATATATGCTGCAAATATCAGATAGATACTGGGGGGGGGGGGGGAAGAGTGTATGTTATGCATATTCATTTTCAAAGATATGGCCAAACTCTAAAAATTAGATACATGATAACAATGGACACAGAAATAATGATTTGGTCATCTGCCAACAAAAATAAAGAAGTATGAATTATATCAAGGGTGCAAGTGAGGCCTAAAAAGTAGAAACAGCACTGTTATCCACCCTAAAAACAAGATAAAGTCAGATAATCTAGAAAATCCTAGCTTTCCATGAATCCAGCAAGGAGCTAAAGTCACAGGGCAGCCAAGTAGCCTAAAACCTAAAGGCAGACAGATGCCTCTGAAGATAGATAGGCCACAATGCAAGCAGGTTAGAAGACTTGAGCTAAACTTTTTAAACAAATTGCTAAAAGCCAAGTATGGGCCAGCACTAGAGTATAGAATCTCTAGGAGCAGATACAAGGGGAGCTCATAACCACTCACAAGCTCTTTACCACAAACCTCCTCTAGGCACTCATAAGAAAAACTGGGGGCAAGGCAAGGGACCAGAGGAAGTTGCTCTGGTAGTTCGGGCCTAGAGGAGAAGAGTAGCCACCTGAGCAAGAAAGGCATGAAGACCCAGCCAACCTTTTTCTCAAGTGAAAGCAAAGTTTTAAAGCCTCTGGGGAGAGAGTATCAAACCCTTTCACCCCAAGGGCAGAGGTGAAGATTGACTGTGGCAGTGAGAGAAAGAAAAAGAAAAAACTACATGTGGGAAAGGATCAGGAAATTGTCCTATGTTGAGACCACTAGGGTCTCTTACCACTGGAGGAGGGACAGGACCACTGAAGAGCTACCCTCCTTTCCTGAATCCCAGATAGAGGGACACAGGGCCTGCTTATAACTGAGGCTGGACCAGGCAACAGAGAACACCACTTCCTCCAAACCCCCCACCTAGACTAGTACACATTTAGAAACAAGCAACAGTACTCTATTGCTGAAGGAGGAACAAGACATGAAGAAAGATCGTCTGTGAGGTACAGACAGACACAAAGGAAAAGCTAAAAGCTGAGGATGGAGCAAGAACATTGAGAAAAGCCCTCCAGCAATCCAGCTCACATCCTAAACTGCCAGGGACCATGAGAGGAATCTGAGGTAGGTGGTGCCATGAAGGTAACCATAGCAACAACAAAATCCAACCTCAGCTCATTCCTGCCAATAATAACTCCACTAGAAGCCTAGAAGAAAAGAGGCATGCCCATTTCTAGACATAAACAATATTTACCTCAGTCACTATTGTTCTATCCATGAACAAAAGGATAATGAATCAAATATTACAAGGCACACAAAAAGCAAGAAGAAAACAACCCACTGTCAAGAGACAAAGAACAATAGAGCCAAATTCAAAGATGATTCAGATTCTGTAGTTATCAGGGAAATTAAAATAACTATGATAAATAGTTACACGGAAAACATGTGTGAACAGATGGTGATTTAAGCAGAGAGATGGAAACCATAAGAAAGAGTCAAATGAAAAGACTAGAAATAAAATAGTAACAGAAATGAAGAACCCCTTCAGTGGGCTCATTAATAGACTCAACATCATCAAGAAAAAAATCAATGAATGTGAAGATAGGTCAATAGGAATTACTAAATCTGAAACACAAAGCAATAAAGAGAGAAAATAAATAGATCAGAGCATCCACGAGCTGTGGGACAATATTAATGGTCTAATGCAGGGGTTGATAAACTTTTTCTTAAAGGGCTAGATAATAAATATTTTAGGCTTGTGGGCCATACAATCTCTATTGCAACTACTCAACTCTGTCACTGTAGCTCAAAAGCAGCCATAGGCAATATGTAAACAAACAGATGTAAATGTGTTTTAATAATAAGGAAACAGGCACCAGGCCATATTTAGCCCAAAGATCACAAATTCTGCCTTTAGTCAAGAAGCTTATAATCTGCTAAGACAAATTAAAGTACTGAATGGATATAATGTAAAGTATAGTAAAATATATATAGTAGAAGATAGGGTTCAAAGACAAATACCAGTATCTAAGGCACTACTAAGTAAGACTGAGCATCAATATTAGAAATTAATAGTAAATTAATAATAAACTTTATGATCAAAGAAGCTCTAAGTGCTTTTCAAGATTTAAAATTTCTGGAAATGGAAAAAGATCTTCATTGGGAAAAAAAAGCTATTTGGAAATTACAGCAAAAAAAAAAAAAAAGAGTAATGAAAAAACTGTGAGTATATGTGGGTGTTGCTAATTTTCATTCTGTCCTTGAGTTAAAGAAAGATGAAGTGTTTTAGTTGGTTACAAATTCTTCAGAACATTAAGAGATATGTTTTAAGTAATAAAACTATTATCAAGATCTTGATTCATATTCTTTCACAAAAATATGCTGATTGTTTATCCAATGAGATTCTAATATAATAACTATAAAATAACAAAAGCACTAACACAACAGACTATGATTTTCCAGAGAGATCAAAGATTTACTCTGTATATGAAATGAACTTACAAAGCAAAATAAATTCCTGTTAACATTTGTACCATGAACCCTGAAGAAACTGGTATCCTGCTACTTATTCCTTTGTATTTTCTTACATGTTGTCGGGGATAGCCACAAACACAGATTCTAGAAAAAACAAAATAAATATATTTGTCAAATTGGTAAAAATTTAGGTAGTTTATTTTTTTTTAACATTTATAAGGAAACAATGTACTGGATATGCTCTCATAACAAACCTAATAGCTATGAAACAAAGAATCTATCCAAACAGAACATTTGTCTAGAACATTTTCTTAGGTAAGTGAAACTGAGGGGAAAAAATATATAAAGCTAGAGGTACGTTATTATACAGTTATTTCACTAATTTCAATCAATCCAATAATTGATAATTTTTAGTTACCATAAAACCTACTACATGAAATTTGGTATTATTTATCATAAATAGATCTATGGTATGATCTTCTATTCCTGACAAAGTTCTTGACACAAACTGCAGGCTCCAAGAAAATACTCTAAAATTAGACTCAAGTCCCATATAATACACTATAATAAATTTCAGGTAGATTGAAAATTTTAATGTTAAAAAACCGTAAGAGAAATAAAACAGAAGCAAGTAGTTACATATTCTTTATAAGTTTAAACATAACATCAAAGGTAGAATCCTAAAGACCAACAGATTTTACTAATTTTTGTAAAGAAACTACCATGAAAAAAGCTGAAATTTAAAGTATTTATTATAATGAAGAATATTTAAGGAGTACGTGTATTTACTATAGTGAATAGGAAGTCACCTAAAGGTCCAACACAGAGAACAAATCATATAAATCATTCAGAGAATACTATGAAACAATTAAACATGACGTTTTGAAAGCTTATTTAAATGGCAGGGGTAAAAACTGTACATAACACATGTTTGGAATAAACAAATAGGTGAATGATGTGTGTGTTACTGCCCAAAGATCATACACAAAGTTAGAGTTGTCTCTGGGCCTTGAGATTCTAGATTTATTTTCTTCTTTATATGTATTTCCTAAATTTTCTATGATCAACACGCACCGCTTTTAAAACAAACAAAAGTAAGTTCCTATTTTTAATAAAATTAGAAAATAGCTGTTTTCTCATAACATGTTGTGGTTGATATAATAAAACTTCACTTATGATAGTACTAGTCAATAGATTGTCATTATTTACCCCCTCCCACATGCAATTACTACCTAGGACTTAATATTTCCCCCACTCAGTGAATCTGAGCCTTCATTTAAACATGCTAAAGTATATCACAGACCATTTCAAAAATATACCCTTGAGAATATCATTAATTCAAAGTAACTTTATTTTTCTTCAATTCAAAGTAACTTTAAAGTAAAAATAAAAATTCATTTAATACTGAGAAGGATCTTAGAACTCTTTAGAACCAAGAGTAAAAAAGGAACAGGGATACTTTGGACTGAATATTTATGTTCTCTCCCAAGTTCATATATTGAAGCCCCAATTCCCCAATATAATGGCATTTGGGGACCCTTGCGAATAACTAGGTTTAGATGAGGTCATGAGGATGGGAACACTCCTTGATGGGATTAGTGCCCTTATTAAAAAGAGGAAGGGGGCCAGAATCCACTCTCTGACATGGAAAGACACAGTGAAAAGGTGGTTTCCTATAAGCCAGAAAGAGGGCCTTCACCACAAATCAAATCTGCTGGCACCCTGTCCTTAGATTTCTTGGCCAGAAGTGTGAGAAATAAATATCTATTGTTTAAGCCACCTAGCCTATGGTACTTTATTAAAGCAGCCTGAGATGACTAAAATAAAAATTGAAAAAAATTAACTGTACCTGAAATAAAACCAATTCAAATTTTGTTTGATATTATAAAGACTTATATCCAAACTAGAATAGAAATTCCTCTTACTATCTAAAGAAGCAAGCTCAGAAAAAAATTTTTTTCCTTACACTTTATATACCTTTATGATAGGGATAGTAGTAAATAATAGAGAATCAATACACAAAAGATAGGTTTTTTTCAATTAATGCATTTCTTCATTCAGTAAATATTTTTAAAGATTTACATTGTGTCAGACACTAGGAATGTAGATGAAAGACGTAGTTCCCTCAGGGATTTACCGTCTCATCATGGAGACTGTGTAGTAAACAAATATCTGCAATGAATAAGTTATAAAGGTGGCAAAAAGAGAGAGTGGTAAACTCTAGTGGAAGAAGCAGAGGGTCAGAGAAGGCTTCCCAGAATGAGCCTTGAAGAAAAAGTGGCATTTTCCTGGCGAAAATACAGCAATTGGCAACAATACAGAAGGATTAAACAGCACGACACCAATGAGATTGAGAATAGAAAGACACTAGAAAAGTAACAGAGATGCAAACTAGGGGTCAGATCATGGAGTATCTTATAACCTGCCAGGCTTTATCATGCAGGCAATTGAAAGCAACTGAAGGTTTTTGTTTTGCTGTTTGAAGCAAGAGAGTGACATGATCAGATTAGTCTTGATAATAGTGTTCCTCTGGAGAGGAGACTGTCAAAATAGCCCATGAGTGAGATGAAGGTGGCTTGAGGTAAAGAAGTAATGTGGGGAGAAGGTGAAAGGGTGGGATTGGAGTCCCACTTAGGAAGTATAATCATGGGGTAAGACTGAAGAAACAAGAAGAGTGTGTAATTTTCCCACAGTTTGTTTGGATAGCTGGCTGGATGGTAGTGTTATTAAACGAACTTGGACAAATAAGAGATACTGTTTTGGAAGATGCTAAGTATCAGATATGTTGATTCGTAGGTATATGGTATAGATGTCACTTTTGTCTGCCATGAACTCTCCCCCTGACACTAATGTTTTCCATTAATAGCACCTCTAACCCTCTTACTTTTAAGAACTAGTCTTCTTCTATATCATCAAGTATAACCATGTGATTGTGGTATAAATAAAATAACAAAATTACCTGTGAAAAGAGGTCAACACCCTAACATCTATTTTTACTTCTTCCCTTTAATGACATAAGGTATGCTCTCCTCCACTCTCCCCCACCAATTTTAACTAGAACAATAGCCACCTGCTAGAGATCACATTTCCGAGTCTTCCTAGCATCTAGGTGTGACCATGTGACAAGTTCTGGCCAATGATCTGCTAACCAATGTAGTGCAACTTCTAGGTTGTACCCTTAAAAAGTAGTTGCATGCCTTTCACTCTTTTTCTCCATGCTTGCAGGATACAAGGTACATGTAATAATAGTGATCCATCACCATACAGAGAAGAGTAACATCCTAGGGAATGGCAGAATCTCAAGAAAGAAGGAGTCTGAACACCTTAGAAACATAACCAATCTACCCCCAGACCATCTACCAGCTTGGACTTTTATGTGAAAGAAAAATAAATATCTATTTAAGTTACCATTATTCATCTTTGTTATAACAGCCAAACCAATATTTAAACTGATATAGTAGTCTTCCAATAAAACTACCAAATGTGACCCCAGAGGGGTTTGTGAAGCTTCAGGCTTACAACATCAAAGCCTTTTCGCTGCCTTGTTTTTCACAGTAAAACTGGGAGAGAGGTTCTTTCTTCTGAGTTCATTAAAGGTAGACAATGTAAGCTTTCAGCTGCTTGTGGTCACTGTTCTTACAACCTAGAAGCCTTACACAAAGAAAATACAAAGCTAACAGATGAAGAAGATGAGATGAGAGAGAGATGGTAGAGAATATCCACATTAACATCTGAACCTCTGGATCTAGTGGATCTTGAGGTCAGTTCCATCCCTGCTCTTCCCAGGAACAAAGAGCCAAAAAATTTTCCCTTTAGCATAATCTAGTTTTATATAGATTATCAATTAGTTGCAGCAAAAAGAGTTCTAACTTTTACAAGGTAAGACATCTTTTTTTAAATGTTTAGTTATTGGTAGGGGGGAGGGTGGGCAGAGGGAGGGGAGGACAAAGGATCTGAAGCAGGCTCTGTGCTGACAGCAGAGAGCCTGATGTGGGTCTTGAACTCATGAACCATGAGATCATGAGCTGAGCCAAAGTCAGACACTTGACCGACTAAGCCACACAGCTGCCCCTATAAGACATCTTGATAGAGATGGCTACAGGATTGGATATATAGGTTTAGAATCAGGAAGTATAGGATTCAGGATAGAAGATATAGACAGAAAAAGAAGTTATTGCTATTTATACACAATTTTTTTAAAAAAACAACTTTGCCATAGATCTAGAATGGTCAAACAACTTTTTTTTTTTTTAACGTTTATTTATTTTTGAGACAGAGAGAGACAGAGCATGAACGTGGGAGGGGCAGAGAGAGAAGGAGACACAGAATTGGAAGCAGGCTCCAGGCTCTGAGCCATCAGCCCAGAGCCCGACGCGGGGCTTGAACTCATGGGCCATGAGATCATGACCTGAGCTGAAGTCGGACGCTTAACCGACTGAGCCACCCAGGCGCCCCATCAACTTTTAAATTTACTTGAGGTAAGAACTAGAGAGACAATTCTCTCGAACACCAACACATAAGTAAGATTCACAAGGGAAATAGGATTCCAGGTTCTCTGATTTTCTGTATCAGCTACCCATACAGAAGTAAACAATCATATGTTAAAGGATGAACTACAACCTTTATTTAGAAATGCAAGGGGCGCCTGGTTGGCGCAGTCGGTTAAGCGTCCGACTTCAGCCAGGTCACGATCTCGCAGTCTGTGGGTTCGAGCCCCGCGTCAGGTTCTGGGCTGATGGCTCAGAGCCTGGAGCCTGTTTCCGATTCTGTGTCTCCCTCTCTCTCTGCCCCTCCCCCGTTCATGCTCTGTCTCTCTCTGTCCCAAAAATAAATAAACGTTGAAAAAAAAAATTAGAAATGCAAAGGATTAGTCTTGGTCCATTCAGGCTGCTACAACACAGTACAACAAACTGGGTAGCCCCCTCTTGAGGGTTGTAGACTTTTCCTTGTATCCTCAATGGCAGAAGGAAGAGGGAACTCTGGCATCTCTTGGCTATGACAGCACCTCCTAATACCATCCTAATACCATCATCTTAGGTGTTAAGATTTCAACATATGAATTCTGGGGGGGATACAAACATTCAGACCACAGCAGTTAGTTTCTCATAACTACTAAAACTTTACCCATTTGTAGGAATTAACTG